ATGGAAGTAAAAGACTTGTACAGACAGTCTCTGGGTTACGAACCTCCGACTTTTGTACAACCCATAGTTATGAACCAAAACCCTAAAGCCTAAAAATTCGAGGTACGTACTATGGTTTGTAATAACAAACGAGCGTTACTTTGTGACACACATCAAAACATTATTACTATTACTGCATTATTGTGCTAAAGATATCTTAGTGTACATGGAAACGTTTCTTTAACGTTATTTACGCATAGAAAGGTACACTATATACTATACTATACTAAGACAAACGTTTGACTGACTGACATTAGATACAAACCACACCTAACTGTTCTGATTTACATACAAATTCGACTTAAAGACAGATTTAGGAACGGAACTCGTTCATAATCCAGGGACCGCCTGTATACAAAACTACAAAACATTGCCGAAAGTAATTAAAGAAAACCTAAACAAATGGAGAGCCATCCTGTGTTCGTGAACTGGAAGACTTCATATTGGTAAGATGTCAGTGCTACTCAAAGTGATCTATAGAGTCAATGTAACCCCCATCAAAATTCCAACAGTATTTTCTAGAAAATGGAAAAGCCAATCTTCAAATTTATATGGAATTGCAAGGGTCCCCGAATAGCAAAAACAATCTTGAAAAAGAACAAAGTAGAAGGATTCACATATCCCAATTTCAAAATGTACTAAGAAAAAAACCAAACCCATTGCCACTGAGTCGATTCCAACTCATAGTGACCCTACAGGACAGAGTAGAACTGCCCCATAGGGTTTCCATGAATCAGCTGGTGGATTTGAACTGCTGACCTTTTGGTTAGCAGCTGTAGTTCTTAACCACTGCAGCACCAGTGATCCCAAATGTACTATAGAGCTACAGTAATCAAAAGTTTGGTATAAGGATAGACATATTGACCAATGGAATAGAACGCAGAGTCCAGAAATAAACCTGCACATCTGTGGTCAATTTATTTTTGACAAGGGTGCTAGTCCATGCAATTGGGAAAGAATAATCTCTTTAATAAATGGTGCTGGGACAACTGGGTCTCCATATGCAAAAGAATGAAGTTGGACCCATATCTCGCACCATATACAAAAATTAACTTAAAATGGATCAATGACCTAAATGTAAGATCGAAAACCCTAAAAGTCTTAGAAGAAAAATTAGAGGTAAAGCCTTGGGACCTAGTTTTGACAACAGATTCTTAGATACGACAACAAAAGCACAAGCAACAAGAAACAAAATAGATAAATTAAACTTCATCAAAATTTAAAACTTGGGTGCAGCAAAGGACTTTGTCAACAAAAAGACAATCTATAGAATAGAAAACATTTGGGAATCATATATCTGATAAGAGTTTAATATCCAGAATATGCAAATTCCTACAACTCTACAAGAAAGGCCAACAACCCAAGCAAAATAGACGTTTCTCCAAAGAAGATAGACAAATGGCCAATAAGCACATGAAAAGATGCTCAGCATCATCAGTCACTAGGGAATGCAAATCAAAACCACAACGAGAAGCCACTTCACACCCATTTGTCGTTGTGGCTGCGTGCTCTCAAGTCCATTCCGGCCCACAGCCATCCTACAGGACAGCGTAGAACTGCCCCACAGGGTTCCTAGGCTGTAGTCTTTATGGGAGCAGATTGCTGGGTCTTTTCTCCCACGGAGCGGTTGGTGGGTTCGAACTTAACCATTACACCCCTGGGGCTCCTTTCACATCCGTTAGGACAGCTATTATAAAACACAAACGAACACCTGAAACTAACGAGCACGGGCAAGGCTGTGCAGAAATGGGAGCCCTTGTGCATTGCTGGTGGGAATGGAAAACGGTGTGACCGCTGTGGAAAACCCTTTGGAGATTCAAAATGTTAAACACAGAATTTCCATACAATCCAGCAAGCCCACTCCTAGGCATATGCGCAGAAGAAAAGAAAGTAGTGGCTTAAAACAGATGCTTGTACACCATGCTCATTGCCGCATTTTCAGGAGAGTCAAAAGGTGGAAACCATCAAGTGTCCATCAACAGATGTGTGTGGATAAACAAAATGTGATATCCATGTACAATGGAATATTACTCAGCCATAAAGAGAAATGAAGTCCTGAGACATGCTTCCATGTGGATGAACCTTGAAAACATTATCCTGAGTAAAATAAGTTAGACACAAAAAGACAAATATTGCATGATCCTATTTACATGAAATATTTAGCGTAGGTAAACGCATAGAGACAAAGCCTTGTTAGTGGTTACCAGGGCTTGGGCGGGAGGGGAAACGGGGAGTTATTAAGAGGTACTGAGTTTCTGTTTAGGGTGATGAAAAGCATTTGGAAATGGAGCGTAGTGACAGCTGCACAACATGGTGAATGTAATAAATGTCCCTGAATTTTACACCTAAAAATAGTTAAAATGGCAAATGTGTTGGTATATACATTTACCACAATATAATAAAACATAACAAAAGCTGAGCAAATCATCTTTTCCTTTGACTTCCCTTTCTCCTGCAGCAAGCGACACACCCACCTACCCAGTCACCCAACCCTGAACTCTGGACGCGTATCTGAGAACAGAAGGAGCCCTCGTGGTGCAAACTGTTAAGCGCTCAGCTGCTAACCAAAAGGTTGGCAGTTCGAACCCACCCAGCGGCTCCACGGGAGAAAAGACCTGGAGATCTGCTCCCATAAAGATTACAGTCTAGGGAACCCCACGGGGCAGTTCTACTCTGTCGATAGGGTCGCCTTGAGTCGTGATCAACTCAACAGCACACAACAGCGAAGTGTAAACTCCTTCAGAGGAGGATCTGTGTTTCAGTTTTTATTCCTCAAAGTTCGTGGCACATGGTAGGTGTTTAATGTTTTTGTCTGACTGATGGTCCAACTCTTACTACTGCCCGTCGCAGAATGCTTGCATTTCAATTGCCACAAGGTAAGCACTGAACAGCGAAACGTAAGGAAAACATATAGTCTTCTGATTTTGTAAAATAATGAAGTCAGCTTTTAATTTGAATTTATTGGGCACTGTTCCATCTGCAGAATTGTGTTCACCCTTGTTTACTTTTGGAGCAATAATTCCTCTACTGCCCTGTTTAGTGATTGGTGGGAGATGAGCATTTAGCTAATCTTCTTTCAATCCTTCTGTGGCCACCAGCGCACAAGAAAAATGGCTCATACAAAGCTCCAAACGGATAAAGATAAAAAGATCAAGAAGGAATGTGGCTGATGCATTTATATCCCACGAGAATTAGAGACAGCTTGAACGAAATAGAGAAATCGGGTCTGTGATGTGTTCTCAGGTATCTCCATAGCTCCTGATCAGTGATAACCCAGCTTGCAAACGTTAGACAGGCTGTACTGATGAGCCAAAACATGCAAAAATAAATTAATAACAGCAGATGAAAAATATGACTCAAAAGCCAGGGAAGTGTTGCTTAACTTGAAAAGACAATTTAAGAGATTTACTTTACTTTAAGGTCAAGATAAATCAACAATGCAGTATTGCTGCTGACAGAACAAATCTATTTTAGGGTGTTTCTTAGTTTCCTGGTGCTGCTATGACAGAAATACCACAAACAAACAGAAATTTATTTTCTCACAGTTTAGGAGGCTAGAAGTCCAAATTCAGGGCACCGGCTCTGGGGGAAGGCTCTCTCTCTCTGTGGGCTGTGGGGGAAGGTCCTTGTCTCTTTTCAGCTTCTGCTCCTCTTCCCTTGGTGATCTCCATGAGGCGTGTATCTTCCCCTCCTGTTGAGCTTCCTTCTCTGGGCCTGATCTGCTCTTCTTATGTCTCAAAGATAATTGGTTTGAGACACACCCTACACTGATATGGCCTCATTACCACGACAGAGAAAGTCGTATTCCCAAATGGAATTACGTCCACACGTATAGGGGTTTAGGATTTACAACACATATTTTTGGGGTACACAATTCAATCCATAGCAGGGTACATTACTACAAGCCAAGTGTCTGAGAAAAACGAGTGGACAGGTTGCAGTTTCTGCAAGATCATCAAAACATACCTGGACTAGTGTGCTTAATTCCAGGTATGATTTAAGATGGACATTGACAATCGAGAAGTATCCTAAAGTGAATGGGGGAAAGAGAAGCGTGTGCTCACATCCACTCTGTTGTCAGTCAATGGGGCTGTGGTGAGGTGTCCACCACCCGTCTCTCAGTTTGTCATACTGTGGTGACTGCGTGTTGCTATGATGTTGGAAGCTATGCTGCCGTTATTTTAAATACCAGCAGGGTCACCTATGGTGGACAGGTTTCAGCAGAGCTTCCAGACTAAGACAGACTAGGAAGAAAGGCCTGGCAATTTGCTTCTGAAAATTAGCCAATGAAAACCTTACGGATCACAAACAGAACATTGTCTATCTCCTTTGCTTTGGACATGTCATCAGGAGGGATCAATCTCTAGAGGAGGACGTCATGTCTGATGAAGCAGAGGGCCAGTGAGGGTGAGAGAGAACCTCGGTGAGATGGAATCGCACAGTAGCTGCAATGATGGATTAGAACATGCTAGTGATTATGAGGATGACGCAGGACCAGGGAATATTTTGTTCTGTTGTACATAAGGTCATCATGAGTTGGAGTCTACTGGATGGCAGCTCACAACAAACAATAGTGAGGTGTGCTCCCTGCCCTGTTCACCTACCTCTGCCCCTAAATAAAGTAGGGAAATAAGATATCACAGAAGATAAGGCACTTCCTGGAGTCAAAACATAAAAATCAACACACATTGTTGAGAAGAGAAAGATCCTAGGCCAGACTGAATCTGCATTAAACAAATCTCAGGAAGATGGTCCGTCATTCAGAGAGATGGAACGTAGGAAAATAATGAGTCATGGAGATAATGGTCAGCAATGCCTAGCCAAGCCCCGCCCAGGCAGAAGAGGGGTAAAGTTATGGAGTTTTGCAGATAGTCAAACAATTCTATTATGGTTGAAGAATACAACCAGCTATTGTAGCCTGATGCTATTAAACATTCAAACCATTCATTTCCTCATGCCCTGATTCTGTGCTTACCAAGCTACCTCATGATTACAAACCGACTTTCCACATAGGTTTGCCCACAGGAAGAGGCGCTGCTGGGGCCATCCGGGGGTTCCGGGATGTGGGCAGTAACAGCTCTCACTGTAACTGAGTCTGTTGGCACTCTGTATCGCTTGGCTCGGCTGACGCAAGTCTGTCCCGAAGAGTCAGAGCCGCTCCTGATGTGCCTACAGAATCTGGTTTCAGAAAACCGCCGTGCGGAGCCACAGACTCTGGACAGTGGTAGATTCACCAAGGTAACAAGTCTATATCCTGAGAGGTCTTTGGAAATGGCCAACATTCCCTGGGAAACATCACTCCGTCCTCTGCAAATAGCAACAACGGCTTTCTTGTGGGTACCCCAACAGGTACGGTCATTTGATTCTGAGATACTGCCTGCTTCATCAAATCCTGACTCGTTCTCACCTTCTCTCCTTGTAGGGGCTGCATTTGATTTTTTTTGGCGTTGTTTACAACACCCAGCACTAGCAGACGCTCAACAAGTAAGCAACAGTCACCCCTGACCGCCCCAAACCTGACGACCGCTCTTTTTCGTGTTCGGTGCTTACCTACCTGTGCGTCCCTCCATCTCACTGGTGGGATTGGCCCTGCCTCAGCTCTCTCCCCAGCCCCACCCAAGAAGAGGGTGCTTCAGCCACCTTTCCAGTCTCTTCCACCCACTCTGCACTTGAGGCCACTCTGTCTCTTGCTCTCTTCCTGAGTCCTTGTTCTTGTGATCTCTCCCATCCGCTCAGCACCCTGGGCTTGCTGACTTCTATAAAGTGGTCCAGGATGCTGTCTCTTCCATCTGTTGTTGCACAGTCTGCAATCCATGGGAACATAGTGCTCTGTCCCTGTGTCCAACCCAGTATTTTATATCCTCAAATATTACATCAGGATTTTATCTCCCACCTGAGCCTTAGTGCTTCCGAACTTCTGCTTGTCTGGGATTGGGGATCAGGTAGTGCCCTCCACAGAGCCTTGCACACGGCAATGCTTCCTCCAATGTTTGCTAATAACTATTGTGGAGAAAGTTGACCAGAGACGAGAAGGCTTAGGAAGACATAGTCGAAGTCTTCATACCTCAGACGGTGTGTCATGTGAATAACGAATTATACTCGTTATGCACTGACCCCGAGGGAGGTCTAGACAGAAGCCTCACGGAGGCAAAGGTGGGTGTACGTGTGGACTAAATAACATCCCACTTCCTTAGAATAACGCAACGCAAGGACCTTTGTGTCAGTATTACTATTATCACCATTCATAGTCATATTACTATATTGACATTAAAGTTTGTTTAGTACCTTACAGGATATGGAGCCCTGGCGATACGGTAGTTAAGACCTTGGCTGCTAAACGAAAGGTCAGCAGTTCAAATGCACCAGCTGCTCCTTGGTAACTCTTTGGGGCCGTTCCACGCTGTCCTATACAGTAGCTATGCGTTGGAATCAACTCGACGGCAACAGGTTTGATGTGGTCTGGTTTTACAGTATATGAAGGGCTCTTTATCGCTTAGTTTAATTAGCGTTCCCAACAAACCATAAAGGGGATTTCTACTGTGATTTGCCATTTTACGTATGGGAAAATAGAAGTTCCACAAAGTTAAAAGTCCCTGATCACAGGTCAGTCAATGGCAGAGGCAGGATTCAAACAGGTCCTCTGGATCCAAATCTCCCCCTCCACATTTTCCCTCGCCGTGCTGTGAGCCTGCAGAGGTGGACTCTGTCTGGAGACCCAGCTCACACGGAGATCACAAGTGATAAAATCATTTAATGTAGAAGCATAACAAGATCAGCAGTTTCCCATTTCCTTTTCTGCTCTAATGTAGACTTCTTGTGTGCTACAATGAAGGTTAAAGAATTTAGTACCCATATTTTATTTTCTTAGAGACTGTCATTTGTTTTCTCCCCTGGTGGGGAGCCACCGTGGAGTGGGCCTTTGACTATTTCCCAGAGCGCCGTCAGCGCCACACGTGATGCCCATTGCAGTGAATTACAGTCACTCGGGCCCCAAGGCGAATGTCAGCCGCCCGTTCCGTAATCCACGCTTGCAAGTTTTCTGAGTTTCCTTTGAAACACTGCCCTATTTGGGTGTCATTTCTGAGACAGATTATGGGATATGGTTGCCATTTTCAAATGAAGGTTCGAAAATAAAGCGCGATTCGTATCCAGTCACAGAAAACCATTTAAACTCATCTCCACGAAACTGATGTTAAAATTTAAGAGCATAACTGTACTAACTCTCGAACAAATGAGAAAACAGACATGAAAGGCTTTCGCAGAGCACACCTCTGTGCAAATATGGGGGCATGTTATAATTATTAAAATACACAAAGGTAAATCTTCAAAACCTAACTTTGCTGCAGCAAAAAAATAAAATAATAATGCTGAATCAGTAGTCATCTAAAAGAATACACATGCAAATCAATACTAAATGGTTCTAACAGCAGGACTTAAAATTTTGGTCAAAATTCTCGGTTGGAGGGATGGGCGAGGTATAGGACTATAAACCAAAACAGGAAATTTCATTTTATTATTTGATGCAGCTTCAACAACATCTATTGAATGGCTACTGTGTTCCGTTATTGTCTAGGGATTTTTACATGTGTTCTCTCAATCCGTTCTCCCCAAAACCCTGTAAGGTAGATATTATTTGTCCCATTTTACATATGAGAAAGTTGGAACTCATACTTCCGGTATCTTTTGCAAGTGGACATAAAAGGTAAGTGAAAAACATCAGAATGCTAACTCCGATTTCAAGTGAAATATCTGTCCACTGTGACATGCCACCTTCCAAACAGATGATACAACTTGAACCACTGTCTTTCCAACGTTGGCAAGAACTGGTTCAGAACTGGCTACCCTTACGTGCACTTCTGCTCAGAGGAAACCATCAGCTGGAGAAGCTGATCTTTTCACCGCCTTTATCAGTCTGCACGAAGCCCTGGTGGTGTAGTGGTTAAAAGGTTGGCTGCTAATCAAAGGGTTGGCAGTTCAAATCCACCAGCTGCTCCTTGGAAACTCTATGGGGCAGTTCTACTCCGTCCTGTAGGGTTGCTATGAGTCAGAATCGACTCGATGGCAATAGGTCTGGTTCACCAGTCCACACAGAGGCGTGGAGTGCTGGGTTTTCATGGCCATTCCAGAGTTGATGAAGCCAACAGAAGGGCCAGCCACCATCTCGAAGACAGCCTCTCTGCATTTCAGATTGTGAGACTGTACTGTACTGTCTCTTGACCTGATGTTTTTGAGGGTCCTGCTTTCCTGTTTGGGGGTTAAAGATTAAAATCCAGGCCCAGATTTCTTGTCATAAACTAAGGCAGAGTATTGTAGAAGACCTGGCTGACTATCTGCTCTTCTTTCATGCACACGTGCTCTCACACAGAATCTAATCTCACCATATGGATGGAGAAGCCAATGTCCCCTGCTTCCCTCTCAGGATAAAGACAAGGTTTATCCCCAAAGATGGAGGCCAGAGGATTACCCAAGTCACCAAACGGAGGAGATTAGACTTCACCCCCAGACATAGAGACCTGCATTGTGAAGCTGACTCTGAGAAAGGATGTGAGATCTGTCACGCGCCGTGGTGGTGGAGTCAGGACTAGAGCACCTAAGTGTCTCATGTGTACCTTGGAGGTCAGATAACTTCAGACCCTGGGAATCGATGTTCCATCCGCTGGAAAAGCAGACGGGACTGCACCAATGGACTTTTTGTTGTTGTTGTTATACTGGTGTCAAGCTCAATTTTACCTTTAATCTCCAAAATATAAGAAGCATCACAGCATCATCCATTTCTATGAAGTTAAGTTATCAAAATATGGGAGATTACCGACATTTGACAATGGAAAAACATTGAACACTAACTCCAGATAAGATACTGTGCTAAGTACTAAACGGGAAAAAAAGGAGATACAAATCATAATGTTTACGGAATTTAAATGGATCGTAAGAATAGTTGCCATTTAATGTGTGTCTGCTATGTTCCAGTGAATCCCTGGGTGGTGCAAACAGCTAACACACTCAGCTGCTAACTGAAAGGTTGGAAGTCTAAGCCCACCAGAGGCACCTGAGAAGAAAGGCCTGGCGATCTCCTTCTGAAAAATCAGCAGCTGAAAGCCCTGTGGAGCACAGTCCTACTCGGACACACGTGGGGTTGTCGTGAGTCGGGATTGACTTGACAGCAGCTTGTAGCTGATGGCTATGTTCCTGGCACTGTACTAAGAACTTTATAAACACTTCCTACTCACAATATAGTTTTGAGGTAGATAGTGTCCTATTTTGTAGAATAGGAAACTGAGACCCAGAGGTTAAGCACTATGATTGCTCAAGGTCACACAGTCAGTTAACAATGGAGTGGAGACTGGACCATGGATTTAAAGCCCGTCAGCTCCAGCTCTGCCCACCACACCACCCTGCCTTCCAACAATGGAGGAGAAACTAACCATCTGTGACGGGGGGGTCTATAATGACATAAAATATATTTTTAAAAACCATAGGCTTATATGGTTCCCTTCAATGTAGGAATTGTTTATACACTGACTACAAACATGCTATCAGTTCTCTTTGCATTTACCCTTGGAACCCCAGACGTATTGCTTTAGGTAGCCTCGGGGATGGTGAATCTCTGCTCTTTTATCTTCAGACATAAAATCCACCTTTCATACGTGCGTGGTTTCTGAATCTATTAATGGCACAGTCGAGCTAATGAGCTGAATGGTTAAGCTGGGTAACAGAAATTTTAAAAAATATATGAATAAAGTAAGCATAACCATAAAATAATGAGAATGAATTCATATACTTCTTGGAGTCTTTGATACTGAACCAGCATCACTACTTTCTTGTCAGACCTCATATGAATGTAAAAAACAGATTGGACAATAAGAGGATCCAATGAATGGTAGAGAAAAATGAGGGATCCAATGAATGGTAGAGAAAAATGAGGGATCCAATGAATGGTAGAGAAAAATGAGGGCTGAGAGCAAGATTTCAAGGATGGGGATGGGCCAAGGTCTCATTGATAACCACCTGATCTGATATTAAATGCCTGGTAAACTTGACCCTCAGATTACCTCTTTTGTTTGCTGAAAAGGCAAAACTGTCTCTTGGAAACCCTGGTGGTGCCGTGGTTAAGATGCTAACCGAAAGGTCAGCAGTTCAAATCCACCAGGCACTCCTTGGAAACTCTATGGGGCAGTTCTACTCTGTGCTATAGGGTCGCTATGAGTAAAAATATAAAAATTTAGGGTTTTTTTTTTTTTTTTAAGATTCAACATTTTTAAGATTTTGAATAAGCAGTTATTAAGGATTACAAAAGATTAGAAAGGGGGGATGGAGAATGCAAATGCCTAGGTTACACAGAAGGTCAGCACTTCAGATCGATGGTCCCCCAGCACAGTACTCAAGATAATTCACAAGCGTTCAGGAAGAATACTGCAATTTCCATTTCTATTTCTTTTTTTAATCTCATCTTTCTAAAGCTTCTATTTTTGCATGGGTTTTATAATTTACATCATCTATTAGTTCAATATTTCATAAATATAATTCATAAGTAAATATAAAACCAAAAAAAAACTTATTGTTGTCAAGTCGATTCCAACTCATAGTGACCCTACAGGACAGACTGCAACTGCCCCATAGGGTTTTCAAGAGCAGCTAGTGGATTCCAGCGGCTGACCTTTTGGTTAGCCGCCAAGCTCTTAACCACTGCGCCACGAAGGCTCCAAACCAAACCCTTTGCCTTGAATGGATTCCAACTCACAGCGACCCTGTATCTATATCTCTGTATGAGCTGATGAGGTGAGAACCACCACGCCACACCGAGTCAGGACAGACCGAGCAGGACAGGTTCAATACATACAATGTGATGCTGTCAAATGCAGAGGTAGTACTCTAGGTGATTATTTATTAATTTATTATAACAGAGACACAGGAGGGTGTTTGGAGAAAGCTAAGGTTTGAAGGATGGCTGCCTCAGAGTCTGTCATCTGATTTCTGCACCATGACTTGGACTTAGGCTGATTTAGTTGAATGAGCTACCTTACTGGATGAAGGCCAAAAAGAAGGCCCTCGATTTCAGGTGCTCCACTTAGGGCTGGAGAAATATGATATAACCCAAGCCAGATGGACAAGGCTTCGTCCACATTGGGATTCATGGGAAGACTGGGTTGCTGCGGCTGGGACTCTGACAGGTTTCCTCAATGGGTGCTAAGAAAGGCACTAGGATGCCATATTTGGGGAGTGAAGGATGAAATAAAAACATGAAGAATAACTGTTAGAGCTGAGAGACCTTAGAGGTCATCTGGTCTACCTCTCTTTTTACAGTAAACAGACAGGTCCACAGAGTTAGATGAAGTACAGCTCTCTAATGTAGGAGGCAGGGCCAGTCCAGGGTCACCTGGGCCAAGCTCAGGAGGAGGAATCTGTGTTCAAGAACACGAAAATGTTTTACTTTATAAGAAATGCAAATTCCACAGGACTCATATTACCATTTTCTTTCTCCATTTGTATAGAGAAGCTGTGTTATGAGGAGACAATTTTAAAGAGACCACACTGTGCTACATGGAGGGACTATATGCTCTTCTAGCAATATTTAAGTATAGCAAAATCTTGGTCTTATTCTGTGAGTATAAGCCATTTAGCATTTTATTTACCCTCTCAGGGACAGAAATTTTAAATATTACAGAAATACTTTGCAATGGCCAATGTTGGAACTGGCCCAAGCGTTTTTATGGCTAATTCTTAGGAAGTTTTCCATATACTTTTTATTGAAAGTAACTGAGAAGATAGTGCAATTATAACTCTCAAAAGGAAAATGTTAATTATTTTACTCTGTATGACTTTTCTAGCAGGAGTTTTTTAGCCGCTGTGTGTCCTACTCATTTAAACATTGGATTTCCTCTAAGGACTCCCAGATGGAGTTTATGTTTCTGCAGTTTCGTGTTAATTTCCCACTTTTCCATCCCTTCTGTCTGGAATGTCCCCTGGTCTCATCTGCGTGGCTAATGTCTCAATTTCCTCACAGTCTTAGCTGGGAGCTCACTTTAGAGATCTTCCCGTGGCTGCTGGGTACTTCCATCATGAAACGTCACAGGCTCTGCTGACGTTACCTGTGGAACTGGCTGTTCGCTACGCGAAGTCTCGAGTTCCACAATCACAGAGATTGTATCTTGTTTATTTATTTCTACATCCTTGGTGCCTAGCAAGAGTCTAGCATGTGGTAGCTCCTGAAACATGCTATTAGAGAAACAAATTATTTCCAGACTTTTATTAAAGAAAAACTAAAAATATCCAAAGTCTAATGTAGACTACTTACAGTAATTTACTATTTACTTCAAATGTTTAACTGCTCTTTCTTTAAATAAACCATTCAGTTTCCTGGAAAGAAACGTCCTACATTTGATTCATATCAATAGAGGGATATCAGCGACTTAACTCCGCTCAGAGCTTAGACGGAGCCAAGAGAATTCTAGGTAATTATCTTCTGAGAACACGAGTAGCTAAAACTATAACTAATAAAGTACTGGAGAGGCAAGATGATACTTTTGGCCTCAGTCTCTTCTTTGAAAATTGTTTATTTTGGTCTGTTTCATTGTCCTACATTAATAGCTATAGTTCAAAAGGAATTATTACTTTAATATACTAGATTTCTTTTTTTGTCCTAGGCAGCTATAAAACTCATGCTTTAAAAATGCAGTCTCTTGATAAATTTATTTCATGCCAATTTCTCTCTGGATAAAAATAAATGGTTTAACCTATGAATCCGTGTTTTAGATTCTGCTGGATTGGCACAATATAGATGCCTATCACTTCTACATTTAAATTAAGGGAAGAAAACAGCTGTAAATTTTATGACCTAGATAAAAATCATATTCCTTTACAATCCCTTATCCTTAAAGCTTGATAACTTCTCAGGTGCTGAGAATTGATTTTTTAAAAAACAATCTAATTTCCTCCTCACTGTTTATGGATTTCTCTCCCCTTCTTCAATTAGCTTCAGAGGGGAAACAAAGAAGTGCCAGCGTGACTCATACGGTTTGATTCCCTCGCATTAATTACAGTTTGATTCCCTCGCATTAATTTAATATTGCAAAAAGAAACACTATTGATGAAGTCTCTGGCTTTTTCTCCAATAAAAATACGAAAACTTTTAGCGCAAAGTCATCCCCACTGCATCCCACCCCCATGTAGAAAACTAACAAACTACAATCGAAACTATACTGTCATCTTTCTTGCAAACATCCAGTCTGCCAATGAGGGTTTTGATCATTTTTTTCAAGACAAAAGATAGTCTAATCCCTGCACGTTTATTTGTCTTTCCCTTTTCTCCTCCAAAGGATTCGATTTGTGGTTCTGAAAAGTCCTTCCCTGCCTAAGTTCTGGCATACTCTCTTCAGCGGGGAACACTTTCTAAGTCAAGGGTGAGGAAGCCAGATCTAGAATGCAGAAGAAATACATCTATGTCGTTCACTTATTCATTCATCACTCAGCCAGAGGAAGCACTGTGTCACACTCAGAGAAGACTCTCATTCCTCATGTCCCCTCAAGGAGCTTACAGGATAGTAGGGAAGGAGACACAGGCATGAGCAGCTACATCAGAGACAAGAAGTGGACCCTACAGGGTTGATATTTTAGGAAGCACCAGTAACCAGTTGCCTTTGAGTTAGTTGATTGCAACTCATGGCAACCCAATGTGTGTCTGAGTAGAACTGTGCTCTGTGAGGTTTTCAAGGCTGATTTTTTGGAATTAGACTGCCAAGCCTTTCCTCCAAGGCACTCTGGGTGGACTCAAACCTCCAACCTTTTGGTTAGCAGCCATGCGCCTTAGCAGTTTGCACCTCCCGGGGGCTCCTCGGTAGGCATAGATCAGTAGGCTTTATCAGTTGTTCACATATTTAAATATTTCTATGTGATAGTTACAGCTGCTGCGCGGGCCTCCAGTACCTCTCCTGCCCCTCAGCCCCTTACCAGAGATCCCCTCCCACCACCTCCCCAGGGTACAGCAACTAAAGGTAGACAGCTGGTGGG